GAGTTAAATAAAGATATCAAATGTAAGTAGTAGTGATTGAGTGTTTACAAACACCTGTGTGTGTAAACCCAGAGATCAAAGGGTTCCATGGTGTCTGCTCTGATTGGATGATGTCACTCATGTGTGTGTGTGTGTGTGTCTCCAATCTGCCCGGCAACACCATGACAACCATCTGCAGCACTGAGTCCCATAAGAATGCATTGGGGATTATATCTGACAATNACGTACTCACACGTACGTACACGTACGTACGTACACGTACGTACTCACACGTACGTACACGTACGTACGTACACGTACGTACTCACACGTACGTACACGTACGTACTCACACGTACGTACTCACACGTACGTACACGTACGTACTCACACGTACTCACACGTACTCACACGTACTCACACGTACGTGTGCCCAGCAACACCATGACAACCAACTGCAGCACTGAGTCCCATAAGAATGCATTGAGGAGTATATCTGACAATTTTGCCACCTGTTCAAAAAATATGGTTCCCATCAAAAAATGACCAGGCCTTGAGCATCAGGGAACCCCAATGAACTTAAATATGTTTTTTTGGGGGGTTTTGTGTGGTAAATGTGAAGAGGACAGCAGTTTGTCTAAAGTGCACTTCACTCTGTTCTGAAGAAAGATCCGGATGTTCTTAACATGGGAATCAATTGGGAGCTAGCTGGACTTTTTGTCTCTTCATGCCCTCAAGAGGCATTTTGTTTAATTTTTTTTCTAAATCTTTTTTTATTTTACAACCTAGGAGAGGTTTTCCTAAGTTTTTCATGAAAAAATATGTCTGAGGAGTGTAGGGTTTGGGAATTATGGCAAGTTTAAAACATTTTTGGGGGAGAATTGTAAGCACTGCTCCACTCTGTTTTGAGATCAAAGCACTCTAGACTTAACAAGCTGCTCCATCCACTCTAATGTTAAAATCTGAAAAAGGCCTCTCTACCAAGCTCCAAACTAAATTCAATATCTCAAAAAGTTTAAAAGATATCAAAAATCTGAATAGGAATTGAATAGCTGACGGTCTTGTGATCATTTGAAAGTTGGAATGAAGTATCTACCTGAAATTACGTGGAAGGAGAAGTATTTGGCGCAAAGTGTAGCAAAAGTGGATTTAAAGGCATCTCCCATTGACTTCAATGTTAAAAAAAGAGTTTAAAAAGCTGAACATTTTAAAAGGTGTGAAATATTTTGAAAAAGTTGAAAGTTTGCAATCAATTGCTGAAAAGGCTGAATAGTTTAATAGTTGAATGGTTTCTGTAGCTGAAAGTAAGCTGAAGTTATGGAGAGCCAAAGTATTGGCTGAAATAATATTAAGGGGATTAAATAACTATAGTGGAATGCTGTAAACAGTAGACCCTCCAGAAAAACGCGATTCTGCGATTGCAGAATTTACCGCATAATCAGCAAAATGGCGCAGATTTTTAAAAGGCCGC